CCTGAGAGCCAGCGAGGATCCTCAGGTGAGTGTGGGACAGGTGACACACCTGGGGACAGGTGACACACCTGGGACACACCTGGGGACAGCTGGGGACACACCTGGGGACAGCTGGGGACACACCTGGGACACACCTGGGACACACCTGGGACACACCTGGGGACAGGCAGGTGCTGGCCGGGATCCCGGTGTACCGGGTGATGGACCGGCAGGGACACGTCCTGAGAGCCAGCGAGGATCCTCAGGTGAGTGTGGGACAGGTGACACACCTGGGGACAGGTGACACACCTGGGGACACACCTGGGGACACACCTGGGGACACACCTGGGACACACCTGGGGACACACCTGGGGACAGGTGAGCACGGGGGGGGACACTGCTGGGGACACCTGGGGACACCTGGACACACCTGGGGATGCACCTGGGACAGATGAGTGGGACAGCAGACACACCTAGGGCAGGGGACACAGGACAAGGGACACGCCTGGGACACACCTGGGACAGGTGAGCGGGCAGGGGACGCATCTGGGACATCTGGTGTGTCCCAGGTGTCCCCAGGTGACCCCAGGTGTGTCCCAGGTGTCCCCAGGTGACCCCAGGTGTCTCCCAGGTGTCCCCAGGTGACCCCAGGTGTGTCCCAGGTGACCCCAGGTGTCTCCCAGGTGTCCCCAGGTGGCCCCAGGTGTGTCCCAGGTGACCCCAGGTGTGTCCCCAGGTGTGTCCCACCTGCCCAGGTGACCCAGGTGTGTCCCTGTCCCCACAGCTGCCCAAGGAGCAGGTGCTGAAGCTCTACAAGACGATGACGCTGCTCAACACCATGGACAGGATCCTGTACGAGTCCCAGCGCCAGGTACGGCCGGGGGACACCTGGGGACACCTGGGGACACCTGGGGAGGAGGGACTCATCTGGGGTACACCTGGGGGACAGCTGGGGACAGCTGGGAACACCTGGGAACACCTGGGGGACACCTGGGGCTCACCTGGGGGCACCTGGGGCTCACCTGGGGACACCTGGGGCTCACCTGGAGGGGTCTCACCTGGGGGCGGGGGTCACCTGGGGGTGTCTCACCTGTCAGCCTCAGGTGTGTCACTGTCACAGAGCCGGATCTCGTTCTACATGACCTGAGGGGGGTCTCACCTGGGGGAGGGTCTCACCTGTGGGGTCACCTGGGTGGTCTCACCGGGGGTGGGGGTCTCACCTGTGGGGGTCTCACCTGGGGGAGGGTCTCACCTGTCAGCCTCAGGTGTGTGTTCCCCCAGGGCCGGATCTCGTTCTACATGACCTGGGGGGGTCTCACCTGTGGGGTCACCTGGGGGGTCTCACCTGTGGGGATCTCACACCTGGGGGGTCTCACCTGGAGGGGAGGGTCTCACCTGTCGGTCTCAGGTGTGTCACTGTCACAGGGCCGGATCTCGTTCTACATGACCAACTACGGCGAGGAGGGGACACACGTGGGCAGCGCCGCCGCGCTCGACGCCTCCGACCTCGTCTTTGGGCAGTACCGGGAGGCAGGTGAGGACAGGTGGGGACAGGTGGGACAGGTGGGACAGGTGGGACAGGTGAGGGGACAGGTGGGACAGGTGAGGGGAGAGGTGTGACACAGGTGTAACACGTGAGGACAGGTAGGGACAGGTGAGGGGACAGGTGTGACCCTGATGTGACCCAGGCGTGACCCAGGTGTGACAGGTGTGTCCCCACCCGTGTCCCCAGGTGTGACAGGTGTGACCCAGGTGTGACTCAGGTGTGTCCCCGCCCTGTGCACAGCTGTGACAGGTGTGACCCAGGTGTGACAGGTGTGACCCAGGTGTGACAGGTGTTAAACAGATGTGACAGGTGTGTCCCCACCTGTGTCCCCAGCTGTGACAGGTGTGACCCAGGTGTGACTCAGGTGTGACCCATGTGTGACAGGTGTGTCCCCACCCATGTCCCCAGCTGTGACAGATGTTAAACAGATGTGACAGGTGTGCCCCCGCCCGTGTCCCCAGCTGTGACAGGTGACACCCAAGTGTGACAGGTGTCCCCACCTGTGTCCCCAGATGTGACAGGTGACACATAGGTGACACCCAGGTGTGACCCAGGTGTGACCCAGGTGTGACCCAGGTGTGACAGGTGTGTCCCCTTGTGTGTCCGCAGGTGTGACAGGTGACACCCAGGTGACACCCAGGTGTCCCCAGGTGTGACAGGTGTGACAGGTGTGTCTCCACCCTGTCCCCAGGTGTGACAGGTGTGACCCAGGTGTGTCCCCACCCTGTCCGCAGGTGTGACAGGTGTGACTCAGGTGTGACAGGTGTCCCCAGGTGTGACAGGTGTGACACAGGTGTGTCCCCGCCCTGTGCGCAGGTGTGACTCAGGTGTTTCCCAGGTGTGACCCAGATGTGTCCCCAGGTGTGACAGGTGTTTCCCAGGTGTGACAGGTGCGCAGGTGTGACAGGTGTCCCCAGGTGTGTCAGGTGTCCCCAGGTGTGACCCAGGTGTGTCCCCGCCCTGTCCCCAGGTGTCCCCAGGTGTGACCCAGCTGTGTCCCCCCTGTGCGCAGGTGTGACAGGTGTCCCCAGGTGTCCCCACGTGTGACCCAGCTGTGTCCCCCCTGTGCGCAGGTGTGACAGGTGTGACCCAGGTGTGTCCCCAGGTGTGACCCAGATGTGTCCCCAGGTGTGACCCAGGTGTGACAGGT